TAGGGTTAAAGGAGGGGTAGATAAACTCTTGGGTGGGTGGGGGGGGGGCGGACGGGTGTCAGATAAAATGGGTGAACGAGCCAATCAATGAACTTGCGAGTCTCGTTCCTAGTTCTGCGTTTTGAGAGTTCGCTTTTTTTGACTCTGCGTGCATGGTGGTGCACTCTCATGTACGACAGACGTACGGCCTGTACGTCAGCGATCTCCCGCTGTTTGACCACAGCCGTGAGATGGTCCTCTTAGCGGAGCAGCGTACGGCGGAGGCGGCGCTGAAAGACACCTTTGAGCGGCTGAGTTTACAGCTGGAGGTGAGGAATGGGGGGGAGGAGGGGGGAGGAGCGGGGCTTTAGGGTTTTAAGGGGTTTTGTTGTAGCTGTGCCCCCCAGTTTTGGGATTCCATGGCGGGTGCCGAGGATTATATTGGGGATTGGGCTGGCAAGCTGCGCAGATTTGGCATGGGCGACAGACAGACAGACAGACAGACAGACAGACAGACAGACAGACAGACAGACAGACAGACAGACAGACAGACAGACAGACAGACAGACGCCCCACGCCACATTCCCCCACTTACACCCGCCCGTAAAAACGGCGCAGGAGGAGCGGCAGCGCAGCGAGCAGCTGCTGCACCAGATGATCCCCCGCCACATCGCGGATGCGCTGCGGCGGGGGGAGCGGGTGAACGCGGAGATATACCCCGAGGTGGGTATCGCCCCCCCTAGCTCCCTAGTTGCATGCCCATTACCATCATCGTCCCGTCATGGTCTTTCAGAATGCTGGGATGTCGTTTTGCAGTCCTCGCTCCTTTTCATCCCCTTTCATCCCCCCCTGATGCATCCTGGGGACCCCTTGTGACGACTCCTGGTTATTCTTGGTACCTTCAAGCTTGTTAGGGTTTTAGGGTTTTAGGGTTTTAGGGCTTTAGGGCTTTACCTTCCGTGTCGTATTTCGTGTGATTCTAATGTATGTATATCATGCATGATGCCACTAAACAGGCGGCTGCAAGGGGCACCGGACCCACCAGTAGCTGCTGGCGGCCGTTGCCCCTCTTGCTACTGCTACAGCTACTGCTACTGCTGCCGATATAGTGCTACTGCCCCGCACGCCTCTTTTCATGCTCATGCTCCTGTTGCTGCTGTTGCTACTACTCCTGTTACTGCTGCTGTTTCTACTGTTGTTGTTGTTGACGGGGGGTGTTACACACTGTGGGCGGCTCGTCCCAAGAAAGGACGAGCACCGGGGGCCCTGACCGGGGGCCGAAACACAGCGCAGGGGTGTTGCTGCTGTTGCTGTTGTTACTGATACTATTGCTTTTACTACTGCTGCTGCTGCTCTTGCTAATGCTATTGCTGCTACTGTTGCTGCTGCGGTGGCAACGTCATGTTGATGTGGCCCCTTTACTGCCGCTGCTTTGCACCTCCGGCTGCTGCTACATATGCCCGGCTGCTGCTACTGCCGCCGCCGCGCCCTGCCCCCCGCATTACCTTGGACCTGTCCAGGCGACGATTCTGTTCTCAGGTACGAATGGTACGGCCTTTTGGTACGGATTTGTGCGGACCCGTGGTGCCTTTGCAGTACGGTTCCTCTTCCTTTCTTCTCCTCACTACTTGTACACAGTTTCCCCCGCCAGCCCGCCACGTCACCCACACCGGCACACATTCCAATCCCCTCTCCCGCGCACCTCCTCGATATGTACGGCAGATGTGGTAAATTTCACGACCATCGCCGCCGGCAGTACGGCAATGGAGGTGTGCACGATGCTCGACAGCCTATGTGAGTCTCTTTGGCAGGCTCAAAAGACCGGAGGCACGGGCCGGAGCGTGCGTGTGTTTGCATAGTGTATGTAGTTGGGTGTCTGTAGGTATGTAGGTATGTAGGAAGGTTTGTTTTCGGGTGGTGGCACTGCCCCACTGTTTTATTCCTCCCCCTCGCATCTCGACCCATCTCCTGCTGACCCCTGGGTCCATCAACAACAACAATAACAGCAACAGCAACTGTTACAATTCGCCCTCCCCCCCCTTTCGGTATCCTGGTCTCTCCCCCCCATACACACACGCACACGCAAACACACACACAGATAACGAGTTCGACGAATTAATTGACAAGTACCCCTCCCTTTACAAAGTGGGTTTGGGCTGACCTGGGTGGGGGGGACGGAGCGCCGACTTTGGTCGTTGGACAGCAGTTAGTCGTTGATAGTTATGGTTTGGGTTGACCTCGTGACGTGTTCGTGGACCCAACAGATCACTAACAATAGTAGCAGCGGTGGTGCTTTCCGCACAATAACACTGCATATATGCATGTATGCATGTATGTACTGGCCGCGTAAGACCCCGAACAGGTGTACTGGTGGAGCCCTAACAGCCGTGTGTGTGTAACCCACCGCTCTCGGACAGCACCCGATGTGCAACCAGAGGCACTCCCCGCCTGCCCCTAGGGCTCCTAAGGGGATATATAACCCTATAGGTGTGCGTATGACTTGTAGGTGTTTTCATAATCTAAGCGGCAAGTTGATTTCGGTGTATATGCGTGTAAGGAGGGAGGGGTGGGGTGCTTGAGCTATCAAGCCTCAAACCCTAACCGCTTTTAAATCCCCAAACCCCGACATAGCCACTTCGGTTGGACACATTTGTATCCTGGCTTCTTCCGTGCCCGTGTTCCTTGCTTCCCCCACACTCCCTAGAGTGTACGTGTGTGTGTATTCCCGTTTCCTTCTCTTCCGAAGTCATGCAGGCACACATGCACACACATGCACACACACACTCTCAGAAATCTCCCTGTTTGTGCGTCTGTTGCTGCTGTTGCTGCTGCTGCTGCTGCTATTGCTGCTACCACTACTTCTGCTGCGGCGGCGGCGGGGGCTGCTTCTACGACGGCCCCATTACCGCCGGCTCCATCGCCGTCGACTCGTCGCCTTGCGCTGTCTACGATGAACCCCCACCCGCATCCCCTCTTCGCCATGATTAACTATGGCCCCCAGGTTGAAACCATTGGCGGTGAGTTTGTGGAAGTGTTCCGGGCTCGCCTGATTCTTTTGGCTTATTCCCGTTACGCCTCTCGCAAACCCATCTCCTATCCCTCCAATTTATTTTTCGCTATATCCACTAAAAAAACTTAAACCTTGGAAGCCTGGAAATTCTTAACCCTGAAGCTCCCACCTTTCGACTCTCCCCTTCCCCCCCTTGCAGTGTCGTTCCCAGTTCCTCTCTCACTCCGTCACCAGGCCTTCATATAATCCCTTGTTGGCATATTGGTTCGGGAAAACCCTTTGCCCCTTGCCCCTTGCCCCTTAACTTTGCCACCTTCTCGCTCCTTCCCCTCCCTCCCGCATTTCTCCCCACCGCCACCACCAACAGCCAACAGTACTGTTGCACACCAAGCCCACACCACACACCCACACACCTAGCTAAAAAGCCACCGTGGTCCCCACCCCCCCCGTGGTCT